TCTTGCTCAGGCTGGTCTCGAACTCCTGACCTTGAGCGATCCACCCGCCTCGGCCTCCCAGAGTGCTAGGATTACAGGCGTGAGCCACCGCGCCTGGCCCACAGGAAGCATTTAATAAAATAAAATGGATGAACTGTTCTTTGACAACATGTCTGTCAAAATTAGACTGCTGACTGGTGGTGCACAGCTCCTCTGTATGAGAATTTTTAGTGTTTACTCATCAGGTAATAGGAATTTGACTTTGTCATATAAGAACAATAAAGGGACATATGAATAGCCTAGTGTTCCATTCCTGCATACATATGTACATATATATGAACATGCATACAGATGTTCATCAGAATAGCAGCACAATTCATAATAGACCAAAGCTGGAAACAACCCAAATATCCATCAATAGTAGAATGGGTAAACATGGTATTTTCATACACTGGAATGTAGTACTTATTACCCAGCAGTGACAAACTACATGCAACAAAACACACAGGTGACTCTTTTTTTTTTTTTTTTTTTTTGAAACAGGATCTTGCTTTGTCAGCTGAGCCAAAGTGCAGTGGCATGATCACAGCTCACTGCAATCTCAAACTCCTGGGCTCAAGCAATCCTCCTGCCTCAGCCTCCTGAGTAGCTGGGACTACAGGCGTGTTCCACCATGCCAGCTAATTTCTCTGTTTTTAGTAGAGACGGAGTCTTGTTCTTGCTCAGTTTGATTTCAAACTCCTGGCCTCAAGCAATCCTCCTTGTTTGACCTCCCAAAGTACTAAGATTACAGGCGTATGCCACCATGCCCAGCCTTTACTTACTAATATATAATGTTCAAAGGGACAAAACTAATTGATGCCATTAGAAATCAGGTTGCCAGGTGTGGCTCACACCTGTAATCCCAGCTACTGAGGGGGAGGCTGAGGCAGGAGGATCACTTGAGCCCAGAAGTTCAAGGTTGCAGTGAGCTGTGATCACGCCACTACACCCCAGCTTGGGTGACAGAGCCAGATCTCATCTCTAAAAAGAAGAAAAAAAATAACAGGTCGATGATGACTTTGGGAGGGTAGTAGCTGGAAGGAAGCATGAACGGGGCAGCCTCTGGGGGCTGTCCTTTCCCTGCTTGATCAGAGTGATGGTCACACAGATGAATTTCCTTTGTAAAGATTCATCCTGCTATATGTTTATCTGTGCTCTTTTCTGCAAGTGTGTTCACTTCTGTTAAAAAGTTTAAAACCTTAAGGTGAAAATTCTTATATATAACTTATGATTCTTCATCTGATTTTGAAAAAGTACTATAAAATTATTTTGCAGATCAAAAACAATAGAGGTATCGATGTTGAAAATGTGGGTTACATTAAGTAAAGAACCACATATAGTTTAGCATGCCTGAAGGATATGTTAGCCACCCTTTCCTTCCTGTTTTTCCCCTAACACCTGATACACACATGCTGTTCTGATTATAGTGAGAAAGTGAGATTGGAAAAAGCAGTGGCTGACCTTTATTGATTAAATTAACCTGCCACTAATGCCATTCTCTCTTCCTGAGAGAACTCCATTTGTGCACATGAGCTTCAAAAATGTATGCAGCCAGGAAGGCTATCTGGATAAATGTTGCCTTCTGGAATTTTCCTTAGAAGTGTGTTGACAATGTGCCTTCTGGTCCCACTACCAAGTAAGCCTTGCCCCTGAGAGAGAGACTCTGCAGAGGTGTTCGAAAGGACTCTTGGATGGGGAAGTAGAAAGTCCTCATTATGTCCCAACCATTCTGTCTCCCGAGACCAAAAGTGAGTCTCAAGACGGAAAATCTCAGATGGAACTTGTGAGCTTCCCTTCCACCTCTATCCTCATACCTGCCCTTCCTGCCTTACTGTTCATTACCCAACCTAGAAATCTTGACATAATCTTCAGTTCTGATTGGCCATCAGTCATTTATGATTTGGAAACATTTCTGAAATCTGTCCCCTTTTTTCTCACAGACACTGACCTAGTTTATAGTTCAGGCTGCCATCACCTTTCATAACTGTGACTGTAGCCTCCTAGTTAATATCCTGTTCCAGTCCCTCATACACTGAAACCAGGGTTGCCTTCCAAAATACGAAGTAACTGTGTCACTTGTCCACTGAACATCCTTCAGTGGCATAAATTCAGCAGTCTGATTATACACGGACTTTGTAGCCTCACATCAACCCACCTTTGGCATCTGTCCTTCCTCTTGCCTTGCCTGGATTTATTGCCATTCCATTAAGACACCATGTTCTTTCCCATCTCTAAGCCTGTGCTCATGACGTTCTCGCTTCCCAGAAGACCTCCTCCCTACGAACTACAGGGCCCGTGTTAGGACTCAAATATATCCTGAGCAGTTTTGCCCAATACCTCTGCTTTCAGCTCAAACTGCATTTTGTGCTGACCTGGACTGAAGTACTGTACTAGGTTAGGACTCTAGTGGCAGGGCCACTACTCATGTTTGCATCTGTAGCACTTAACATATAATAGGAACAAAGTAACCTTATAATTGAACAACTGCATCTCTTTATTCTTTGACACAAAGCACAGTTGGTATGGTTAATGTTGGAGAGATTTGATGGAGATTTGATGTTGTTCCTACCCTCCAGGTGTCTACTGAGCTGGGACTTCGTGGTTGTCTGAGGAGAAGCTAGGGAGGCTTTGGAGGTGGGGCTTCCTCTGGTTGGTGCTCAGTTATTGCTGCTCAGAAGCCATTTTGCAATGCTGAGAAGCCCCTGGGTCCTGAGTATGGCCAAGGCATCGGAAAGAAACTGTTTCTAAGTTTCTTAGAAACTGGCCTACACGAGCGGTCTCTAAACAGAAAGCTTCAAAGAGGAGATTATAGATATTTATTACAATCAAAATTCTAATTACCTTTTCTTCTGCACAGACAGGAGAGAAGCTTCTTTCCCACTCTGCCTGATTGGGAGCAGGTAAGCAGATGATGGGTCCTCTTTTCAGGTTCTGGGAAGTTTTGCTAGCTTGAACTTGCTCAAAATCAATATGGCAGAAGGCTAAATGAGCTTCCCCGTAACCAAGGACTTTAGAGATAGAGATACTAGGTGAGGGAAGTAGCTTAGTTAAGGGAGCTACAAAAATGCTTTTCACATTGTATAAGGAAATTGGTTTTTCAAATTAAAAAGCTCTGTTAGAAAAGGGGAATAAAAACTAATTAATTCAACAAACACTTTTTGAGTACTTATGTCTGATTTTTTTTTTTCCAGTTAAGAGTCTCCCTCTGTTGCCCTGTGTAAATTGGTATCATCATAGCTCACTGCAACCTCAAACTCCTGGGCTCAAATGATCCTCCTGTCTCAGCCTCCAGAGCAGCTGGGACTACAGGCATCAGCCACCATGGCCAGCTAATTTTTTTTTTTCTATTTTTAGTTGCCTGGCTAATTTTTTTTTTCTTTCTATTTTTAGTAGAGATAGGGTTTCTGGCTGTTGCTCAGGATGGTCTCAAACTCCTGACCTCAAGGGATCCTCCCGCCTCGGCCTCCCAGAGTTCTAGAATTACAGGCATGAGCCACTGAAC